TTGCTGTCCGTGTCTCTAAAGCTGCACCTTTGAAGAGATTGGGATCGTTCACATTATACAACTACAGTAATATCATTCCACTTTGTAATCAGGGACGGGTATTAGAATTCTCATCTAGAGTTCTGGTGACGCTCCAAACTACAGATTCCAGGATTCCCAGGAAGCCTCTGGTTCCAGTGGATGCTGTGGCAGATTTTGCTAGCATGCCTACTCGTGAATGCCAGACCACAACCAGTATTTTGTCTTGAAAGCATGCAATTCAGCATTAAATTATATCAAAGAGAAGGAGTGATATATACACACACACATGACAGTTCTTGGAATCCATCAGTTTAAACCAAGTGTATGCAAACATGCTGTAGGAGTAAGTATATGGGTAGCTTTCCAAGCAAATCACTGGTTAGCTTATTCACAAGAAAACACTATTGTTTCTCATCATATATATAAAAAGAAAAAGATCTGTCAAGACTCAGTTGCATGCATTGGAGCTCAACACACAGTTTGTCCCATTAGCATCATAAGTGGATGCAAGGGTGCAAATCACACAAAAGGAAAGTTACAGTGCATAGGATAATAACGATTTCTGTTATTATCGTTGTCTACTGACAGGTTTTTTTTTCATGTCAGGCGTGACTTGAAAAACTGCAAGTCACTTCTGGTGTGAGAGAATTGGCCATCTGCAAGGACATTGTCCAGGGGACATCCGGATGTTTTGATGTTTTGCCATCCTTGTGGGAGGCTTCTCTCATGTCCCCACATGTGAAGCTGGAGCTGACAGAGGGAGCTCAAACTGCTCTACCCAGATTCAAACTGCTGACCCATTGGTCAGCGGTCCTGCCAGCACAAGGTTTTAACCCATTGTGCCACCGGGGGCTCACTAATGACAATGATTACCAGGAAGGCATCTTTAGGGTTTTACAACATGCAAACTAGCAAGTAGCTTTTATTTGGCTGGTTTATCAAAGGAAGGATTAGGATGCAAGTAGCACTGTATGGTCATCACTCCGATGGTAACAATATACATAAACGGAATAGTTAGCTGATATTTTGAATTGCGAAAGAATGTTACCAGGTATCTAGTTTTGTTTTGATAGCCATAATTTCAGAACATCTAACTCTTGAAATTTCATGAAAATAAAGCAACGGAGGGGTTTTTCCCACAATAAAATTGCAATTTGCTCAGAAACATTTTCTCTTGGCCCATTTGGTTTGTAGTTGAGTCTGACCTTAAATTTATTTCTGCTAAAATGAAAATCCAGAGTTGTGATATATAAAACTGGAGACATTTACATGGAACTGAAATGGCTGAGAATATCTCTTGGGCCATTTTTCAATAAGAACTTGCCAAAATGTTCAAATGGTCATTTAAATTGATAATTTAAAAAGTAGGAGTGATGAAGAAAGTGATTTTCCCCTTTCATTTCTTACTAAGAGCCATTGTAATGACTGAATTTGCTGATTTTGGTTGGTTTCTGTTTGATACATTTCTTTTAGGTTTAAAACTGATAAAACAATCTGAATATTTATACATTTGTGTGTAAAAGAAAAATGAAAGCAACTTTAACTATGTGAAGGATTAAATTAGGAGCAGAGGCTAGAAAAGTTTCTTTCTGTGAGTGTAGTTCTCAGAATCTCACAGCCACCATGACTGGTTGTCGTGGACTTGAGACGCCAAAACATTTTTGAGCTCTGCTGCAGAGCTAAGGTGGAGGCACATAAAATTTCTGTGCACTGTGTCTTTAAAAGCCTTGCTTGGAAATTTGAATAGAAATATACACAATATTGTGCAATGGTTCCAATTAAGGACTGGAACCACTGCGTGTATCAAGAGCTATTCATATCCCCTAAAACAACAATCTAATTCCTTCTTCTTGTACACTTGCCCCTAACTATATCTCCCGTAGAAATAGGAGCTGTAGCATGTGTGCTTGCATGGGTGTGCACACTTTGCTTTCATCATAAGAAACATGGCATGGGATGAAACAATTGCACCCCCTCTTTGCTGAGATCCTGATCCCAGCTGGATCATCCAAACAAGTGATTGAAAAAAGACATATGCAACATCAAAAACATTTTTAAACATCATATGTATAACCTCCAGATGTCCCTGTATGGCAGAGATGTGGCTTTTAAAATGCCATGGATTGTCTCTCCATCTCCCACTCTCCCCGTTCATTCTCACCTTACTTGAGTTACTGCAAACTGAGTGCAGAAATTAACAACAGGGAGAGGAGAAAACAGGGCAGAATCTAGTCCTTTCCAGTAATTGTTGATTCGTTTTCTTTTTTCTGGTTTTTCCTAAACTCAGTATTGAAAATCCAGGGGTTTTGTGCTTAAAATATTAATTTTGTAAGTTATTCCTCATTATTAATTTTTGCCTTCCTCTTGTCTGGGAATATATTTTAGCCACATTCTCAGGTTGCTTAGCCATGTATAGATGGTTTTCATCTGTGAAAATTTAGAGGGCATGCACAAATCATTTGTCAACAGTAACATTACACTTAAACCAAAAATTTCACTGCCTTCTGCTAAACCCATTACTGTATAAAGCAAGATCCTTCACTAGAGCTTGTATGTTAATAACATCAATACATAGAAATTACACAGTGCCATTTTCAGAATTTCTGAGAACAATTTGCATTTCTTAACCATTTTTCAATGGCTAATTTAACTTCTTTATTCCTTAAGGTATAAATCACAGGGTGGAGTAGAGGGATTAGAAAGATATAAACCAAGGAGAGTAATGTGTCCAAATCTGGTGAAGAGGCAGACTTAGGCCTCAGATACACAAAGGAAGCACAGTCAAAGTGTGTAATCACCACAGTGAGATGGGAAGCACAAGTTGAGAAGGCCTTTTGCCTTCCCAAGTGGGAGTCAGTCCTTAGGATGGTGAGAAAAACATGAGACGAAGATTGATATGACTGTGCCCAGCAAAGCAAAAGCACAAATTAGAACCACCCCTGTTTTAGTTAGGTGAGTATCAGTGCAAGCCAGGATCAGCACAGGAGAGAGGTCACAGAAGAAATGTCTGATTTCATTTGGCCCACAAAAGGGCAGCCTGAAAATAAGGATGTCCAGACTCACTGCTGTGATACATCCTGCTCCATATGATGCCGCTACCACTTTAGCACAGACCCTCTTGTCCATCAGCACCTGGTAGTGAAGTGGGTGGCAGATCGCCACATACCGATCATAAGCCATTGTGACTAGCAGGAAGCAGTTGTTTGCTCCCAAGCTGAAGTAGCAAAACATCTGCACAGCACACCCAGTGAAGGAAATGGAAGAGTTGCCTGTTAAGAGAGTCACCAAGAACTTGGGGATGATGGCAAATGTGCCGCAGATTTCAGAGGCAGAGAGGGCCAGCAGCAGAAAGTACATAGGTCTGTGTAGAGTTGAATCAAGCACTACCACTGACATGACAGTAACGTTGAAGGCTAAAATGGTGCCATATGTTAAGGAGAAAACCAGAAAAAATATGGCTGGTGCCTTTCCAAAAAGAGAAACCCTCAAAAGGAGAAATTCTATCACTGAGCTCTCATTTCTTCTGCAATTCATATTCCAAGTAACGTAGTCTGACCAAAAGGAGGGAAAAACAAGGGAAGGGGAGGGAAGTTTTTCAGTTACAAATGATTTTTAATGACCCCAAATGCTTAATTTAAATTACCATATTGAGCGAGGAAGCTTGGGACTGTGGTCTAAAGGAATAACATTTTCAAGCTCTAGTTTCTTCACATGAAAAATAAAATATTCCCATGTCTGTCTTTGTTTTCTTTATTCTACAAATGCACCCCATCATGTATTCTGAGGCATATTAGGTAGAACACAAAGGATGAAGATAAACACTGTCTTTGCTTATTTCTATTTTACTACAGGTTGATTGATGTTACAGGGTAGATAGAAAGATAGACTGAGAGATAGAGAGATAGATATAGATGATAGAAGTAAAAATAGGTGAAAATATGGTTCATTTCCATTTTTAATACTCATAAATGGAGTTCACACAGTATTTCCAGAAAAAGATTAAATTTATCTGTCATGTCTAATACAGCTTCTCTTTCTTCACCAGAGTTTGACTGCAAACCCTTTTCAATTTGTCAAGAACTTTCTGAAAATGAGCACCAAATGAATACAGGAGATGGAAAGATAGTCTAGAGTCTTACCTCCAGATCGAAGAAAGCAACTCAGTTTGTGAGAAACTAGGATTTGATTTTATTACTGTATTAGTAGTAGTCATGGATCACCTTCAGGAATTGCTCCCCTGGTATTGTAGGCAGTTCAAACTTAAAATAATTTATCTCTAGAGTCAAATTATAATAGTGGAGGCTTTTGTTTCCTCCTAGTAAACCGAGTAATTGTGTAAACCATGTAAATCTCTTCCTTGAAATTGGATTAATTTCAGAAGTGTTTCTTGTTAATTTTTAGAATGAAGACAAAACAAAACAAAAGTTACAGAATATTCATAAAAATCATATCATTCAGACTGGAGTGATGAAAGGTAGCTCAGCCATATTTTTTATTCCTAAAAAAATATTTTAAAAGCCGACATCCTAGGGTGCATCATAACAGGTCAGAAAAAGCGGTGCTCATCCAGAGTGGGGTACTCCAGATCAGCATCACTGGAGTTGGTTAGTGGCTTGACACCCTGAGCGGGATTGGAACCTGGTTAGTGCCACTCACCCACAATCCTTACTTTGCCTCATTGATTTGCTATTTGTGGTACCTACAGCGCACAAAAATGGAACTGGCCACTGCTTGGTAATAATAATAATAATAATAATAATAATAATAATAATAATAATAATAATACTTTATTTGTACCCCGCTACCATCTCCCCAAGGGACTCGGTGAGGCTTACATGAGGCCAAGCCCAAACACAACAATACAAGCAATAATAACAATACAAGCAATTAAAACACATAGACAATAAGATAAACAACATTATCAAATACAATTTTATCTCTCCAGATCCTTTATGCTTTGGAAATGGACAAGGTGGACAATGGACAAGGTAACAGAATTCATCTTACTGAGATTCACGGATGATCCCAACCTACAGGTTGTCCTTTTTTTGCCGTTTCTCACTATCTATATCACCACTGTGATTGGAAGCCTTGGTCTGATTGTGCTGATCCAAATAGAGTCTCATCTTCACACTCCCATGTACTTCTTCCTCGGCCACTTATCACTCACAGACCTTTGCTATACCTCAGCTATTGCTCCAAAGATGCTGCTGAACCTCTTGGTCGAGAACAAAACCATCTCTTACTCATTCTGTGCAGCTCAGTTGTGCTTGTTTGCTGGCTTTGTGAGTACAGAGTGTTTCCTCTTGGCTGTGATGGCCTTTGACCGTTATGTGGCTATTTGCAACCCACTCCACTACTCAGCTGTCATGTCCCACAAGGTATGCAGTTGTCTGACTGCCAGCTCATATGCAGCTGGCTTTGCAAACTCCACAATTCAGACAGTGTGTATCTTCCAATTATCCTACTGTAGACATAGACACAACATCATCAGACATTTCTTCTGTGATATTCTGGAATTGCTGAAGCTTTCTTGTTCTGAAACCTATCTTTCTGAGTCTCTGTCTGTCTATGCATCAGGAACAGTTGCTATGGCCTCTGTTTCAACAATTATTGCATCCTATTTCTCCATTTTATCTGCCATCCTGAAGATACACTCTGCCAAGGGTAGGCACAAAGCTTTGTCAACCTGTGCTTCTCACTTAACCTCTGTGGCTTTGCTTTATGGCACTGGAATCTTTATATATCTACATCCCAACCTAAAGTACCAGCTGGACACAAACATCGTCATTTTTGTATTTTACACACTTGTGGTTCCTATGCTTAACCCCTTTATCTATAGTTTAAGAAATAAGGAAGTGAAAAAAGCTATTAGAAAGGTTGTGACAAGAAAGAAAAACAATTCTCTGTCTAAAGGGTTTGAGGGAAATCCTCACAGGTAAAACAGTGTTGAAGACTAGACAGTTTAAATCAGGAAAAAGTAATATATAGCTCTGCAGGTTTTGGACAGCAACACCCATCATTTTCAGATAGTATATCAATGTTGAGGGATGCTAAAGCATCTTGGAGTTCCACAACTTTTCTAATTTCAAAGGAAGCTAGAAAATACAGGTGTTATTAACACAAAAAATAAAGCCTGTCCCAGACTCCTGTATTCCAATTGTGACACCAGTTTGGATGTGGCAAACATCTAAACATCCCTAAGATATGGAAATCCAATTTCTCCTGTTCTTTCTAGTAATTGATTGAATTTTTCTCATTCTTAACTAAACTAAACCAGCTCTGGTCACATTCTGCAAACTGGTGGTGATCACTTCAATAAAATCAAACTCATAGGTTATCTTTATGTGACAATAACATACAAGTTGTTTCCTTTCCCCCCATCCACATTATTGCTCCAGATATTGTTCAGGACCTTTTGCTCTATTTTAAACAATAGCAACAAATGGCAATACAGTCGCCACTTTTCTTTTTGTAGCAACTAGAGAGTAAATCATCCAAAGTCTAAAAACCTTTCAACATATTTGATAGAGGCAATTTCAAAATCTCGAACCTGTAAAATTTCACCCCAATAGAAATACTTCAGAGGACCCTGAATTAGTAAAGAAAGGAAACATATATGCCCCCTCCCCGTTATCTCTGATCAAAGAGCTTCCCCCATTTACCAGAAAACAGCCGAGCCATTGGTGTCAGAAAGCAAGAGGAACGGTTTATTAAATGTCATGATAAGATAGAGGTTAGCATCGCAATGATCTCATTTGAATTGATTTGCCTGTGTGAGATAGTGCACATGGTTGACTGCATTATACAAGTGAAGTTACAGTTAAAGTTTTGATACAAATTACCAGTTATTGTCTTTTGTTAGTGGCCCCTCATAGTGCAATCACGGCAGTTACACTCAACCTTGCAATGAAGGCTCTGCATTGCTCTCGGCTGCAGGGAAAAAATAACTGATCCGGGGCGGGGCGGCGGCATTAGGTAAGCTTCTTTTAAATGGAAGAAGAAACATATTCTGGCTTAATTTGCAATCTGAAAGAAAGAACATGGCTCCATTTTGCTTCTAGCTGAAAGAAAAAAGGTCCAGAGAAAGGTGACAAAAATTATCAAGGGTCTGAGGAACAAGGCCTATGAGGAGCAGTTTAAAGAGCTAGGCATGTTTAGCTTGCAGAAGAGAAGGCCGAGAGGAGACATGATGAGGGCCATGGCTGAATATGTGAGGGGAAGCCATAGGGAGGAGGGAGCAGGCTTCTTTTCTGCTGCCCTGGAGACTAGGGCGTGGAACAATGGCTTCAAACTACAGGAAAGAAGATTCCACCTGAACATGAGGAAGAACTTCCTGACCATGAGAGCTGTTCAGCAGTGGAACTCTCTGCTCTGGAATGTGGTGGAGGCTCCTTCTTTGGAGGCTTTTAAACAGAGGCTGGATGGCCATTTGTTGGGGGTGCTTTGAATGCGATGTTCCTGCTTCTTGGTAGAATGGGATTGGACTGGATGACCCACAAGGTCTCTTCCAACTATGTAATCCTTTGATTCTATGAAGGAGATTTGAAGGGGTTTTGTTTTCTAAGTGAATAGTGCTGGACTTTGTGAACCTCTCCAGAGCGCTGAACTCTCCAGAGTGCTGAATTCAGGTTATCTACTTTAGGGCAGGGGTCCTCAAACTGTTTAAGCAGAGGACTGGTTCATGGTCCCTCAGACTGTTGAGGGGCCAGACTATAGTTTGAAAAAAGCATGAATTCCTATGCTCATTGCATATCTTATCTCTAGTGCAAAAATTGAAAGAAAAATACAATATTTAAAATGAAGAACAATTTTAACCAGCACAAACTTATCAGTATTTCAATGAGAGGTGTGAACCTGCTTTTGGCAGATGAGATAGTCAAGTTAATCAGGATTATTGTTGTTGTGTGCCTTCAAGTCATTTCAGACTTAGGGAGACCCTAAGTCTAAAGTTTAGGGTTGGCCCCAAGTAAATTACCTTGAAGGGCCACATCCAGCCCATGGGCCATAGTTTGGGGATCCCTGCTAGAAAGTGCTTATGTACTTACAATTTCAGCATATTATTAGCTTCCTGTGCAAACCACTAATTCCATTCATTATAAGGAATGTAATGCTATTGTTCACAGGAAAAATTTACAGACTCTTCATCACCTTGTTTCTTGATTGCCAGCACAAAATGTGTAAGTTAGTATTGTAGTTATCTCTTTTGAATTGGTAGGGTTATCTGAAGCAGTTTACATGATTGACAGCACTGTAAAACTTACAATTATTGTTTTTCATACAAGTTACCAGTCATTGGTGTGATCATTGTAGTTATAGTCATCCTTGCAGAGAAGACTCTGTATTGTGTTCAGCTGGTAAATTTATTATTTATTTATTGACTCTATTTATATCCTGCCTTTCTCTACCCTGAAGACCACTCAAGTTGGCTTTACATATGCATTTTTGTTTCACAAAAAGGAAAAAAGAACCAATTACAGCAGAGGAATTTTGCACATATTTTAGAAACTTTAATAAAAAGGAGAGGCCTAGTTGTCATGGAGGGGATAGGAAATCTCATTTGAGATGACAGGGTTTCTTGAATATTCTTCAATTTTTGAAAATGTTATAGTGTTTCAATTGTTTTAGATCATTTTAAAGCTATTTTAATTATTGCACTCCTACTACAATCAGGTTAGAAATATGAATAACAAAATATGTGAATGAGACAATCTGGTAGTACAATAAAGTGCCTCCTCTAGAACTATTCTTTCAATTACACTGCAAACTACCTTTAGAAGGTCATATGTACCTGGAGATCAATCTTTTTCCCCTGTAGAGCAGCAGTTCTCAAACATTTTCAGCCATAAAGCCCTTTTTGCAGCAACGGTTTCTCATGGAGCCCCAATAAGTGTTTATATATTATATTCTATATAATGTATATAAATCAGGCATGGGCCAGGCAAGTGACAGATGGATGGAGAGTGTTTGTGTGAACTAACTCACACAATGCAAATAAAGGGAGAAATAATGACAGAACAATGCAATATTTAAAATGAAGACCAATTTTAACCAAAATAAGCTTAACAGTATTTCAGTGGGGTCTTCCACTGAGGGAATTGCTGTTCCCGGCTTGGCTCTACATCTACAGGTGAGCCGTCACTCAGCAAACCCTCATCCATGTTATCCATATATTTAAAGCAATGTACCACTCAGTTCACAATATCTTAATGTATATGAAGAAGGAAGGAAGGGCAGCAGAGATAGGGGAAACCAGAGACTAGTCCATGCCATTCTGTAATGCTAAAGCATAGTTTTCTGTTATGTTAGTCAAAGTACATTCCAACAGCACATTAGGCAGAAAGACCTAAACTTAACATTCAGTATAACCTATTAAATCTAAGCGCTTTGACCAAGGCCCTTTTCACTTCATTGTTCCTCAGACTATAGATCATGGGGTTCAGCATGGGGGTAACAACTCCATATAACATGGAAATGATTCTATCCTGTTTGTGGAAATAGGTTGAATTAGAACGAGCATATGTAGCTATGGTAGCCCCATAGAACAAGCAAACTACAGTCAAGTGAGATCCACAGGTAGAAAAAGCCTTGCGCCTACTCTCAACAGAGTGCATGCGCAAAACAGCAGAAATTATATAGATGTAAGAAATCAGGGTGATGAGAAAAGCCCCACTTCCTATAATGCTAGCCAAAAGAAGAAGAACCAGTTCAGGGACAAAGGTAGAAGAGCAGGAGAGAGCCATTACTGGGTGAAGATCACAGTAATATTGGTTAATTTTATTCCTTCCACAGAAAAATAAAGAAAACGTTAGTGAGGTGTGGACCACTGAATTGATAAAGCCCAGTAACCAAGTCCCAACAGTCAGTTGAGCATAAATCTGTTTACTCATGATGGCTGTATAATGTAAAGGCTTACATATAGCTACATAGCGGTCATAGGCCATTACTGCTAGCAAGAAAATTTCTGTACCCACCACATCAATCAGAAAGAATAATTGTAGCATGCAACCCATGAATGATATTCTCTTGTCTTCTGACAAGAGGGTCTGGAGCATCTTTGGCACAGTGATTGTTGGGCAAAGAATATCCAGCAAAGACAAATTGCTAAGGAAAAAGTACATGGGGGTGTGGAGGTGATCATCTGTCACTATTGCTAGGAGGATAGCCCCATTTCCTGCCAGCGTGATCAAATAGATTAAAAGAACCATTACGAAAAGGGAAATCCGCACTTCTGGGAGATCAGATAGCTCAGTTAGGTAAAAGTCCTTCAGTGATGTGACATTAGCTTTCTCCATCTTCTGCCCGGTCAATTAATTGTCCCAAAATACCTAAAACACAGAAAAAAGAAAGCAGACTTGGTAAAGGTATGCATGTAATTTGAATATCAATTATAATATGTTAACCATCTTATATGTGTTTGCATAGAACATAATCTAGTCTAGGTGCTTTAGATGTAACCTTCCACATGCTTATCTATCCCAGAGGTCAGGACAGGTTGGAAGAAAAACACCAAGGAAAGTTGGGATGTTGAATGTTATGGAATTAGAGTTTATAGACTATTTGGGGGCAATGTACATTTTGTTAAGTCTTCAACAGAGATTCCTTTTGAGGGTCAAATTAGGTATTTTTCCTTTACCTGTGATGTAATCCACTACGTTCACATGACACTTTAGTACACTTTGCTTGATCACTCTCTAGTTACAGAATTAAATGCTAAATGGACCGTGTACCATGAAGGGTAGCATTGTCTTTTGCTTATCATAGTGCATGAACCTAGATGCAGCTGATTATTTTTGAACCTTGATCAACAAAGCAATAATAGAATACACTTTTTGATCGATGAAACCCATCTCTTGATGTCCAGTTTGCTTTTCAGTGGTTCTTTGCACTCCTCTCCAGAAAAAATACACTTAAAATACAATCTTCAAAGTAACAGGAAAAAATTTAAGAGGAAAATCAAATTTTGCCCATAGTTTGTGGATTTCCCCAAAGCCCATTCATAGACCCCATAAAGATCAATCAATGACCGTTGTATCGGACATGCAGAGAGCTACTGCTTAATATAAAAAGCACGGTTTTTCAAAAGGAAATTTTACAGTAATTTCCATTTATTTCTCATTGATTTGGTACACCTCTATCAGTCTGTATGGACCCTAGAGGCAAAAATCTGATGCCTGAATCTGCAGCATTTTCCCTCCCTGATATAAACAGATTCCTTACCTCACTGTGTTTTAAAACCACATTCAAATCACGGGTTAAGTCCTTGAAATAAACAGGACATCTCAATCATATGCAACTCAAGTCCCATGTATTTTAATGGGCCTGCTCACACAGATGGCTAGATGGGTACAAGACCTTGTCACATACCCAGATGCCAACTCTGCCAACACAACTACTTGAGAAATGTCATTAAAGGACCTAATCACATCACCCACAATAGTAGAAGTACTTGCATTTGTTCATCCTTATGCCATCTTTTGTCAACAACGCCCTTTAGCATTCTTCATTGGACAAACAGGCTAGTCTCTGTGCCAGGGAATTGACATAAATCAGAGAGCAGGAAAGGGAATACAAAAAAATCCAGTTGCAGAACACTTCAGTCTTCCTAAGTATTCCATCATAGACTTCAGAACAGCAGTCCTTGAACAAAACAAAACATCTTCAAGGGGAGATGAGACAGACAAATAGCAGTGTTACGATACTTCTGCAATCTCCAGACCATCAACAGTGGGTTAGACAGGAATAATTGGCTGCTGACAAACTACATATATGAAAACACTGGTAACACCCCACCACCATGCGGGCCCCTCTTTGCTACTTTACCACAATTCTTTTCTGGCATCACACTACAATATGCTGTATTCCACTACCTCCCTTCACTCACCTTGCATTTAGGTATCATCTTTCCTCCTGTTTTTGTCCTCCATTGACTATTGTTAATACTGAATCTGTCACCTCACAACAATTTCCAAAAAAATTGCATTTCTGTGGCTCTTTGCACATACAGGGTCGGCTTATAAGGGTGTGTTATTAGGCAGACCTTCGGGCTGTATCTACACTATAGAATCAATGCAGTTTGACAACACTTAAACTACTATGGCTCAATGTTGTCTTGGGATTTGCAGTTTGGTGAGGCACCAGCACCCTTTTACTCTGAAGGTCAAATGCTGTATAAAACTGCAACTCCTATGATTTCATAGCATTCAGCCACAGCAGTTAAAATGATATCAAATTGCATTAATTCTACAGTGCAGAAGCACCCAATATCTACGAAAACTTATATTACCATCTTTTTTCTCTCACTTACAAAAGTGCAATAAAATTATTTTGCGTGTCGATTCAAACTAACACATGTTGCATTTGAATTCTACAAAAATACCAGTTTACATTCCAAGTTCACTAGCATGTGCAGTACTTACTGTGCTCTTTGTCCATACGTATATCCATGGGTATCTTTCTTTCATTCCTAGTGGGAGGAGTGGTATTTCCACAAACATTAAAGTTTTCCCAAATCTGTTGATATATCCTTTTCTGTTTGTGAGTGGACAGCACCACTCACAATAAATTTGCCCTTAGCATATAGTATATATATTTGAATAGGGGGAAGGGGAGAGAAAGCCCTAATGATTTTAACTAATTGTTATTTTTCATGTTTGTTTCAGTGGCCAGCATTATTAACAGAACTCTATTAGTAATGATGGGGAAAAGCATAGACCAATACTCATTGTTACACAGTTACATTTAGATGCATTTCATTTAGCATTACTAGTAACATGGAATTAAAAACAAGAGATAAATTGTAAACATTGTGAAAATTCACCACTAATAATAAACCTGCCAAGAGCAATTCACTGTAAATATTGAACATTATGAACTTTAAAATGCTCATACATAGGTCAGCATATTATTAATTGCAACTTTTCACTTTACACTACAAGCTATTTTGAAATTCAAGCAAAGATGCATGCCAAGAAAAAAAAAAGCATTGGATCTTGTACATTTCTTCCATTTAAACACTGGATAAATAGAAGCATGAAATGACATTATTTCCCAACAAAACACTAATTACTGATGGCAAATATGTAAATATTAGGACTTTTCTGCCAGCATCATCATTTTAAAAACAAAATGCTAGGTGGATTTTAAAGCTGGTGATAATAAAAACAGTTCATAAAAGTTATTTTAAAATACTGACATGCATGTACACTAACCTTTTCGTTTTTCAGATAGGGGATTTAAAAATAAGAGTGTATCCAAAATCGTCAGCTGAATTGTGGAAAATCAGGGCTCAAAATTCACACTATCCAAACTCTTCCACAATCCATTTGTTGTCCTTGGTCAATGCACTGAATAAACATATACCAGATTGTGACTGAAGCACAGGACTACAAACCTTAAAAGGTCCAACGGTCTTAAGACAGCTGTTTCAATAAAGTGCAGCTATTCACCTTTCTTGTTTACTTTGTAGACTGCACCAATATAGCAGTGAGCCACAATATGAAGAATTTATGTGAACAGAGCCAAGCAAAATGCTGACATGAAACAGGACTTTACAAATATTGCAGCTGCTTTGAGACTATGCTTACTCTTTCCTTCATTGACCATTGGGATTGGAGACGACATCGTGAATAAAAAAAAGGCATTTGGGGATGAATGTCTCTAAGGAATCTTGTAGTTCCTGATTTGAATTCTCAGTGGTACAGAAAAGCGTGTCATCAGAAAATCTTCTGAATACAGCACCACACATTCAAAGTAAGTTGTAGTTGGTAAGAATCTGAGCACTTAACTATTAAAAGTTTGGATCTGAAGTTTGATCCTGTGTTCAACCATGTTAGTACTGAATGAAAGTTATACATATGTTTTGTTTCTGAGAGCATTGGGTTACAACTCTAGAGATCAGGGTCTGAATCCCTGCTTGGCCACAGAAACCCATTGGGTGCCCTTGGACATGTCACTGTCTCAGTCACTATGGAAAGCAATGGCAAAATCCTCTCTGAACAAATCTTGCCAGAAACCCCCATGATGGTTTCATGTTAGGGTCATCATAAGTTGGCAATGACTGGAAGGTACACAACAACAAGAAAATGTCATCTTTTATATGATAAACCAGCATAATCTGCTCTCCCCCCCCCCCCCCCGCCCTCAATTATGTTGGATTTGGTCAATAGAAATGGGGCAGAATTTGATTTCAATTGATTTTTAAGAATTTACCATACTTTTAAACAAAACCTTTTTTTAAAGAAGTACAAAAAAGTTAATATAACTCTTATTTTTATCCATTCAGTGCACTTTTATAAATGTGTACACATGAGCAAGCTCCACCATGTTCAACAGGACTTTCTCCCAGGAAAATAATGCGATGGAGCCCCACCGGAAGTAGCTCTAAGTCATGGGATGGGAGCTGGTGGCTCTGTCACAAAAATAAAGACAAACTGGTGCATGCCATGAAAAGTACCCTGTCTGATGAGATCGTAAATCAGTATGCAAAGGCATCTTGTAGCACCTTAGAGACTAGGCATACCTCTTCAGATTCATGAAGTGGAGTAGTTAAGAACAGACCTTTATAGGCAGACTGTATGTGTGAATAGCCATGGAAATGCAAGGCTTGTGAATGGGTTAATGAGATGACAAGTTCAGTTTTAACAATGGTAATTGGAGGACAAAGGCAGGGGGAAGCCATAGTGACTGGATAACAGTATGAATAGTGGTGGGATTATTGAACTGTAATGAGAGAAAAGAGATGTGATAAATTAACCAAGAGGCTCTCACAATGCTGGGTTTTTAACTTGGATTATGTGCATAATATGTCAGGGAATACCATGCTCTCTCTTCAACCCACTGTCAATGGACTGGAATTTGTAATATATTCCAATTCCATTGTTTTTCTTTCCAATCTTCCTTGGTGTTGTTGTTGTTATTGTTGTTGTTGTTGTTGTTGAAGGACATCTCTTCTGAGTTCCAAGATGGAATATCCAGGAAAACTAAAGTGTTCTGCAACTGATTTTTGTGTTCCCATTACTAATTTCTGGTTTATGTTGATTTATCCTCTAGCACCTGGGTTGATTATTATCATCTTTCTTCCAGCCAATGCAGAAACCAATGCAGTGAGAGTCACAATGTCTTACTTGTCGGCAATGAATCTCTTGAGTTTCTTACAGCCTTTCTCAAGGTTCTACCATTCATGCACAGTGTTGGGAAGAGAAATCAGCATGGTGTTCTCCATTCTGTATTGGAATTTATGCAATGAAGGGAAAGGGTGCAAAGCAGTCCTATATGATGGGGCATGATCTGTAACCAGGTGGAAGCTTCCACAAACAACACATGGACAATAATAGTGATGTGTTATCAACATTGCCAAATGTCTCCCATTCTGTTTTCAGATACTAACATACTCTGAAGCTTATTCAAATAACAAAACTACCCTTAGGATTACATCTAAGGCATCTGGAGCATTAAAAGCTTCAGCCATCCCTCAGTCTCACTTAATGCCTTGCTTCCAGGTTAGGTGAGGGGATAGGACAACTATGGTGGCAAAAGGGAACACATGAAGTATCAAAAGTAGTTAGCTGCCCTAAGAAACTGTCAATTTCCTTCTTTGTGAGACAAGTCTACTGGATTACCTCATCTACTTTTCTAGACTTTAGTCAGACTATGGCTACTGCTATCAATCTTGGGTGCTGGAATTTCATTTAACCTTTCCCCACCTTTCTCAAAGGTTTTGTGCAGATGTACCAATTATTTCTTCAAACAGTTATTTTACCATATTTCTTTCTAAATCTTTCACTGATTATTCATTTATTTATTTATATTCATGAATAAATACATTTATGACTGAACTGTAAAAGCCAAATATCCTGAATAGCTCATAAACGGATAATACAACAACTCTTTAACATCAATTCTGAAAACCTTTCCATTGGATAGAAGGGAGAAAGGGAACACAACATATATATCAATAACATCTCTGCCACAGTGGTTCTTTACCTGTGGGCTGCGGACCACCAGTGGGCTGTGAGGGTGAATATCTAGTCCACAAGCCTCCTTCCTCTTTATTTTTTTCTGCTCCTTTAACATCGCCTGCCACTCCTTCCCTGTAGCTGACCATGGCATATGTTCTGTATCAGAAACTACAGCTGATGTGGTCTATCCAATGCAATTTTCTGAATCAGCACCACAAATAACTAAACCGAATCTAAAGTTGATCAAAAACTTATTCATAACGATTTTGGTACTAATGTTGGAAAGTGGTCCCTGGTCAAAAAAAAAGCAAAAAAAAAAGGTTGGGAACCTCTGCTCTACTAGGACATGCTTCTACAATCATGAAAAGGATCCATTATTAGAAGTCACCATTATCTTTTACTTCAGATGACTGGTCACCAAATTGTCTCCTTTGTCCTAAGGACAGCAGGTATTTAGTCTCATGAAAGGAAATGGTTAGGTGTTAATTTGTTCCTGTTGTGAGTTTAAACTACGCTAAAAACATACAATAGACAAGAGTTAATTTGTCACAAGAATTCTGTCAAGCTCAGTGTTTTGACCAAGGCCTTTTTCACATCCTTATTTCTCAGACTATAGATCATAGGGTTTAGCATGGGAGTAACAACCCCATATAACATGGAAACAATCCGGACCTGTGTGTGGGCATAAGTAGAAGCTGGGCGAGCATAGGTGGAGATGGCAGCTCCATAGAACAGGCAAACTACAATCAAGTGGGATCCACAGGTGGAAAAGGCTTTGTGCCTGCCCTCTGAAGAGTGCATGTGCAAAATGGCAGAAATGATATAGATATAAGAAATCAGGGTAACTAGGAAAGCAGCACCTCCTATGGCACTGGCCACAAGGAGAACAACCATCTCAGGAAAAAAGGTAGAAGAGCAAGAGAGAGCCATCACTGGATGAAGGTCACAGTAATATTGGTTAACTTTATTCTGTCCACAAAAGGACAAGGAAAAAGTCAATGAGGTGTGAACCATGGAATTGAGAAAGCCCAACAACCAGGTCCCAGCAGTCAGCTGAGAACACAACCGTTTATTCATGATGTTTGTGTAGTGTAGAGGGCTACATATGGCTACGTAGCGGTCATAGGCCATTACTGCTAGCAAGAAAACTTCAGTGCTGATCACATCAATTAGAAAGAATACTTGTAGCATGCAGGCCACAAATGACATTCTCTTGTTCTCTGACAAGAGAATTTGGAGCATCTTTGGCACAGTGACAGTTGGACAAAGAATGTCTAGGAAAGACAAATTGCTGAGGAAGAAGTACATGGGGGTCCGGAGGTGATCATTGGTCCCTATTGCCAGGAGGAGAGCCCCATTCCCTGCAAGTGTGGTCAAGTAGATTAGAAGAACTATCACAAAGAGGGAAATCTCCACTTCTGGGAGGTCAGACAGTTCAGTCAGGTAAAAATCACTCATCCATGTAATGTTGGCTTTCACCATCTTCTATTCAATGGAATGAAATGGTAAGATACCTAAGACAGAGATAAAAATAAAATAGGTTTATTAAAAGTATGCACAAGGGAAGGAGCACAGTTCAAGCAGTATGCATATCTGCCTAATTCTCCTACTACATGTTTTGTAACCACTCCCATCCACTGGTGGTACAATGAATATCTGGTAAAAGTATGGATGTCTACTGAATGACAGTTTATAAACATTAAACCACACAAAGCAAACAGACAGAGCACAGCACATATTGTCCATTCTGTTATCTATTTCAGAAGCCACAATGTGTTTCATTTTGAGTCAAAAGGATGGCTGGTGTGTTCAGTGATTATGAGAGCCATGGACTGACTAGGACTCTGGAGAATAGAGTTTGAAAATCCACCGAGCCATGGAAACTCACTGGATGGCCTTGGCAAGTCACATTTTCTCAACCTCAAAAAAAGACAAAGACAAAACTTCCTCAATGTTTTAAGGTCACCATAGATCAGAAACAATTTGAAGGCACACAACAACAATTGTGGTAAAACCAAATTTTGGGGGAGATTAGGAGAATTCCATACAGCATTCTGGATCATGCTTTACATTGACATAAATGGAAATGTTTCCAAAGGTTAGTCTGACACTTTAGAGGTAGTGGAGATTTCAATGAAGGATATGGATGTGAAATAAATCACATATTTTATTCCAAAGCTCCACAGCACAACTTTGTTAGAAGGAAAGGTAATCTTTAATCTTCATTTTTGATAGTGTTGAACCTAGAGATATACATTATATGTCATGATATAATTTTAGTTTATTTTATAAATTCCCCATCTGAATGCATAGAATGGAGTTGAAAAGTCAAAAAAAGTGAAGGCTCTTTGAAAATGGAGTCTTTGAAAACACATTTTGTTTTTTAAATTGATACACTGACTCAAATATAATCTGTCAATATTTCTGTCTCTTTCTCTTTTAAACAGACACACACACATCACACACAAACAGAAAAATATACCCAGAGTGAAGAAAAAAGATTTGATGTATGCACTGTAATTTGTCTTCAAAACCCATCATAGTGGTCTCAGGGCCCTTCCACACAGCCATATAACCTAGAATACCAAGGCAGAAAATCCCACTATCTGCTTTGAACTGGATTATCTGAGGCCCCTTCCACATCTATAGAAATAAAAATGTAATGTTCGTTTGTGAGATTAACATAACTCAAAAACCACTGGATGAATCGACACCAAATTTGGACACAATGCACCTATCAGGCCAACAAGTGACCATCACTCATAAAAACATTGAAAAACACAGTGGAAGAGACTTAAAAAGCCAAAATAAAAATAAAAATACATTACAAAACATGCACAAAACCATATATATACACAGATACACACACACACACACACAAAACACATATACACAAAGACTGAGCCATAGCAACAAGCGGCAAAGGATGGCTAGTAGCTGTATAAAATCCCACATTATCTTCTTTTAACTGGGTTATAAGCCAGTGTGGACTCAGATAACCCAGTTCAAAGCAGATATTGTAAATTATCTGCCTTGATATTCTGGGTTATATGGCTGTGTGAAAGGGCCCTTAGTTCACACTGTCATTTATTCCAGTTCAAAGCAGATAATGTGGGGTTTCATTCAGCTGTGTGGAAGGGGCCTGAGTCTCTCCCTCAGTACTTAGTTGCAAAAAAGCCATACACTTAGCAGTTTAAATTCTATTGTACAGACCAAAGATGAGAAGATATGGTCTTCCAAATGAGGTTGGATTCTAGATTACATCAGCCCTATCATAGCCAAGGATGATGAGACTGATATCCCTATCAGAGTGAGGCCCCTGGGGTCTTTGCACCTGACAATCCCAACAATCTATGGAGAGCTATAGGTTCCTGACTTCGACTATAATCATAGAATCATAGAGTTGGAAGACCACATAGAGTTGGAAGACTAATCCAACCTCCCTGACAATAAGTATGATAATGTATTGTGGCTGTTGTACTTTTGCAAATCTTGTTGTAGGGAAGTCACCAAGTCACCACACTTCAGCATTTTGCAAGACCCTGCATGGCAGTTGATGAGCAGGATTCTTAGAGGTCCATAATTCACAGAGTTGCCACAAGTTGAAGTCAATGGGGTGGCAAATAACATCAAAAACTTTACAGCTCTCCAGAGCCTCCTGCACGTTCTCTCTTTCACACAGATGGTACCATTTTAACAACATAAGAACAAGACATGGAATATAAATTTGCTGTTACTGCTCATGAGTGTTACTTGAATGAGGAGAAAATTGAGAGTTCAGGAGTGGCAATCATTCACACATACACCACAGATCTCATTTGACTGCACCTCCCACCAGCACTAGACATCTTAGCTAAATATGCGAGTGCTAGAAACTGCAGTCCAACAAATCTGGAAATTCACGTGATTCCTTGCCTGATTCAAATTATTATTGTATTTAGGTTTGTTAGTGCATTGCAAACAGCAATGAAAGAAAATTGTAGGCTACTTATGATGATCCAAACAAACAGCAGTTTCTATCTTACATAATCCTTTATGAAATAGCCAGTGCATATTATTTGTCCAGATGTTTAATCACAATGTTTCACTTGATGCAATAACAATGATATATTTTACAAACTACATCATCAATTGAAGCTGAGTTTGATCTCAAGTTGCCTTGCAAAAGAAAATCATAGACTTCTGCAAATGTTAGACATTCGTGCAGTATTATTCTCCAGAGTGACACTTTCTACTATTACACATCTGAATGATAAAACATTTATCTACCAAAGAGCCCATTGCTAGGACATAAAATGAATATTTATTGCTGTCACCATTATTTCACAAACTGTCACCAATGACGCATCCAGGAATTAGATCCATTGATTTCTCAAGTGGAAGGAAGAAGTAAAAACTGTTAAGCAGAAATTTGTTCAAGACAGTTAGCTGAATTCTTGGAGGAATGCACATAGTGTGAATTTTAACAATTAAATAAATGTTATATATGTATATATATATATATATAGAGAGAGAGAGAGAGAGAGAGAGAGAGAGAGAATAAATAATAGGACTACAAACCTGAAACGTGCTACTATCAAAGATTGCTATTCCAATGAATTTGCCTTTCATGTTTCACTTGTACTCTGTACCAATAGTGTAACAAGCAGTGCTATGCAGAATTTATTAAGACAAGAATTACACAAATTGCTGGCATGGTTACTAAAGAAACACTGTACAAGTTCTGGGGGAAATGGCATCAGAGAAGGAGTGCATTTGGGGAATCCTACATTTCCTGATGAGATTTCTCAGTTCTGTCCCCATGCGATTGGCCACAAACTGATCCAGGGGAAGTTGCATTGCTAGCTTGTAGATGTGTGCTTGGATGTAAACACCTTTGTGTTGAATTGGAAAGTGAGTCCCCAACTGCAATCTTAGTTAATGTACAAGCCGAGCAAAACACAAAGGATTTTAGGCAGCCATTATTAATTTGTCTCACTGATTTTAATGGGACCCCAGATCTTGTCCCTTCTTCAACTCTACCTGCCTTTCCAATGAAGTAATTGTTTTCCAGTTCCTACTATCTTATCTTCTGAGTCAGGGTGTCCTTGTTACTAAGGAAACCTAGTCTTCACTTCTGCATCCTACTTTTATCAAACTTCCCCCTCCCACATCTGCTGCTTTAGTGAGCCAACATTTCAATAAAATGACAATTTACAGATATCATTCGCTAACTATTAATAAAATTATATTATTCCAGGCAGGTGTGTCTTCAATTGGACTGGGAGTTTACAGCACAAAGTCTAAGTTTCTGCTGAAGTTACAGACATGTGTGTTAGGAAAGGTTGTAGCAATTCGCTTTTGCTGAGCTTCCTAGAAAAGGAGAGACTCAATCACCTCCTGTTGGAGCTCAGCAAGCAGCAGAGGGTTTTTCTGACATGGCTGAGGATGAGGGGGTTTATGGGTTTCAAAATAATGAGTCTGTCAGTGTTAGGAGAGAACTGAAGCCAGTTGAGACTGATGTTTTGCATTCCTGTGATCATTCAAGTGAAAACAGTTATCTTGGGAAAGAGCCTTCAGCCAATGGGCAGTTTTCCCAAGAAGACAGATTAGGTTTAAGAATGGGGGGAGTGAAATATAGACTAATTAGACATTCTGAGAGAATCTGTGAGAAGACCTTGAAGCCAGGTGCATTCGGCATGATCTCATGGCTATTTGGTTGGGCTTAAATTAAGTGGTGTTGGCTTTACATCTCTCAGAGGAGACAACATTGTCATAAGGAAGGTTTTCTTGCAAAACTTCATAAGCAGAATTGAGGCAGCTTGCAGTCAACACAAAGGTAGCTTTTACAGAGTTTAAAGTAGCAGAGAATGCCAAAATCCAATCCAAAGGCTCACCAACTAGTCCAAATAAAGTCCGGGGTCATTCACAAAGTCAGTCCAAACAAAGTAGCAGGGACAAATCATTGTCCAAGAATCCAGTCTGAGGGTCAAACACACAAACAGCTCACCAGTCTCCATGATATGCAGTCCAAGGGTCAACATCACCAGCTGAAACAGCCAATCCAATTATTGCTTCCAGCAATGGACTGTTCCCAACACTCTTCTTTTATGCTGCTTCCACAAAAGATTGACAGTTGACCTTTCCTCTGTTGAACCAATCTCTTTGACTGGCAGAGCTGAATTGCATCCACTTTCAGCTGTCCTGTATTTCCTCTTGAAGGGCTTCATCCTGCTTTGGCTCAGCTGCTACTACAGGGTCCAGCTACTGCTCAGCAGTATCATTCTCAGACATGTCCAGCTGTTCCTCATCCATAGGATACGACTTGGCTGCTGGGAGACAAATCCCTTCCTCCCATCCTCCTCTTGGCCCATGGTTCTTACATTGCTGGATCTAGGACCATGACTGCTTTTTACTGGTTTTTACTGGCACATTGTGGATACTTAGCATGCCAAAGTTAGAACTCCTAGCACTTCATCTCATTCTCTTATATTCTCTTTGAACTGGTTCTGATACTTGCAAAGGCATAATTCATCTGATTTCATCAAATGGTTAAAATTATTATTGTTTCTCACTTATATCTATGTATCTTCAACCCTGCAGCTATATCTGTTCATTTTTTCTAATTATTCTCTCTCATGGGATTACTGTTGGACTTTTGGATTTGTTTTATGGTCAATAAGGCTTTCCTTAAATTTTTAAGACATTCCTGATCTGATACTGCTGAGTCAATCTTGACATCTTATATGATCAATCTTTCTGCTATTTTTTAAAAATAAATTTTTTAATAAAAAAATAAACTACCAGCTGCCTGCTGAATAACTGTCATATCTGAACATTTTAAGAACTATTTTTGCTGTGCCCTGGAGCAATTTTCCAAAAACAGATTCATAGAAGTCAATAAAAGAGCATTTTTCAGTAATCACACTGCAAGCATCAACTGTTCAAAATAATTTTATCTGAGAATTTCTAGACTATGTTCAACCTATGGTTTCTGAAATGTCCTTTTAGTATTGCAGAAAACTTAAGTTGCCAGATGACTTAGCAAACTTCATTGCAGCAACTTAACTTACTCCTAATGAAAAGAGTCCTCAGAGATCCAATTCCCAATTTGCTGTCTTCAGCAGATGATTATAAATACCCCATGAAAAGGCAAAAGGCGTGTGTGTATATTTCTATTTGCATCGTATTTTTAATGTTATTTATTTGTATTTTTTAATTTTGCAATATAAAACAAAAACAAGACAATGAGCTTTTAAAAACATATAGCATTGTTTCCAAAATGCCTCAATGTGCTAATGCTTAAAGGCTGAAGATCTCCTCCACAGGTACATATTACCTTTTTATGTGTAACTAATACGCGAATGATCAGAAATTGACAGTCATGTCACACCTCGGAGGGATGTGGACATGGAGTAAAGTATTTTCTTTAGCCTTGATACAGTTGTGTAAAACTGGAAATTTGTACAATTGTAGGAATCCATTAAAACTTTTTGTATTATAATCCTCTGTGTAGATTTACAAAGGTTACATGTAAGAAAAAAAGTATAGTGATGTAATAGTTGAAAGTTCTAGGATACTATCAATTGTTAAGTTAAACTTAAGGTTAGGATAAAATATATCTTTGGCTAGTTTTATCTACTAACAAAATGCAATGGATCAGTTTTACAGTGCATTAAGACACTGCTCCTTGGTTTGATTTATAATGAATGAGGGAGATTCTCCAATTAGTCTCAGTAAAAACAGCAAGCAATTTTCAATGCCGTAGCATTAAAGACTTTGATGCATCAGTAACATACTGAAATAGTGGATCCCAATGCTGTATATTTAGACAAATCACTGGGACCTAAACTTGTAAGTTGTTGCATTGAGCTTTCCCTTGTTCATTCGCTTTACAATTCTTTGTGTTCATGCTCTCTTGATTTCTACTCTCTTGAAATCTAGATTAATTACAGTAATTCCTAAAATTAATTCTGCTTTGTGGCAGATTTCAGCTTCTTCAGCATCCCTGCACCCAGATAAGTAATGATTGTGTGTGTATTTCTTGAAAAAAAAGCAATAAAATTGCCTCACTGATAGAAAATTTGGTGAGAATTTCTGTTACACTTCTTCCAAAACAGTGTCTAAAAATCTGGAAAGAAATTAGAGTGGATTTCAGAACCATAATTAATTACATTAATTTATTGTTTCATGGGGCAAAGTATGAGATATAGCTGCCTACCTGATACTGAAGTATAGATAAAGCATAATTATAGTGAGGCATGAGTAAACATATTAATGTTGTTGCTGTTATTAATTCCTTTCTCATTTTGAGAGATCCAGTGGAGTTAAATATGACAAATGCTTTGGTTCCATAAAATGACATACTTTTGTTCAAATGTCAAAATTTAATATTTAATACTAGAACAGTATTTTAAAAGCCTATAAGTAACTCAGATGCTGTTCTACTCCCTGAAGAACATTCATACTTAGCCAACTTGTATTGCAGTTCCATGAATATATTGCCTAAAATATGTCATATTGAGGTCAATGGGGCTTAAGGGTATAAGATGCCAGCTTTGGTAACCACCAGCCAGTAAATTCATTCTTTCTTATCTCCCAGTCTAATTCACTTCAAGGATTATTTCTTTTATCGCAGAGCTGATAAAGAAAAAGCAGATGAGTACAATATTGCCCCGTACCTGACACACAGGACAACTGCCTCATTGCATAGTCCTTGCATATAAACTGGTCTTGAATGCAACATGAGATGTGTGTGTTTGTGTTGTATATGTGTGGGTAGCATGAGAACAATACTCCTGAACACAATTTCCCAATTCAATTTAACGAATCTACATTCTCTTCACAATGTTTTAGAGATTCCTACTGATCTGGATTGTTTGCAAGATGGAGAGAGCCAATGCCACACTGGTGAAGGACTTTTACCTAACTGAGCTGTCAGACCTGTCAGAAGTGCGAATTTCTCTCTTTGTGATGGTTCTGCTGATCTACTTGGTCACCCTGGCAGGGAACGGGGCTATTCTCCTGGCCATTGGGACAGACAATCATCTCCAGACCCCCATGTACTTCTTCCTCAGCAGTTTGTCTTTGCTAGACATTCTTTGCCCAACCGTCACTGTGCCAAAAATGCTCCACATTTTCTTGTCACAGGACAAGAGAATATCATTTGGGGGTTGCATGCTACAATTATTCTTTCTGATTGATATGGTGGGTACTGAAATTTTCTTGCTAGCAGTGATGGCCTATGACCGCTATGTAGCCATATGTAGCCCTTTACACTACACAAACATTATGAGTAAGCGCTGTTGTGCTCAGCTGACTGCTGGAACCTGGCTAACAGGCATCATTAATTCCATGGTTCATACTTCAATGACTTTTACATTATCGTTCTGTGGGCCAAATAAAATCAACCAATATTTCTGTGACATCCCGCCAGTTAGGGCTCTTTCTTGCTCTTCAACATACATCCCTGAACTAGTCCTTCTCCTTGTAGCTGGCATTTTAGGAGGTGGTGCTTTTCTTGTCACCCTGATTTCTTACATCTATATCATTTCTGCTATCTTGCATAAGCACTCTGCTGAGAGCAGGGGCAAAGCCTTTTCTACCTGTGGGTCCCACTTGACTGTAGTTTGCCTATTCTATGGGACTACCATTGCTACCTATGTCCGGCCCTCCTCAGCATATTCACCCAAGCAGGACAGAATTGTTTCCATGTTATATGGCATTATTACTCCCATGGTGAATCCTATGATCTACAGTCTGAGGAATAAGGAAGTGAAAAGAGCCTTAGTCAAAGCACTTAATCTTAAAAGGTTTTAATAAAATGCTTAGGTTCAGTCCTTTCCACCATTTTCCTGTTCTAAAGTGTTGTGTTTCCTGCACAATTTTAGTACAAATAAAGAAGCATATATTGAATGAATAACGTGGAACAGTAATGAAACAGAAGAATATTTTAACATCATTTTTTAAGCATTATATTTGGAAATACAGCCATAGGACTTCTTTTAATGTCTTCAAAGGATTAAAGTCAGGAATGGAAATCATAGAGGGAAATGTTAAGTACTTAGCAGTAGGATTGTTCTACAGGAAATGTTAAGCCAAGGGGTATTTTCTGCACTTTCTTGGTCCAATGTAGAAGAAGGATGGGATGCTCTGGGCTTCTGGAGTCTCACGTCCTGCTATTATGATCCATTGGGGAGATTCGGTGAAGAACCAGAAGCTGAAATCTACAAAAATATTTTTATTTAAAGAGTGTGATGCCAAATTTTTCTTTCCTTTTATTTTCATTGTATTTGGGAATGGTTGACTATCACTTGTAACCTATTGCTTACATTACAAGATCTATCTAGCAAGTATATGTGCATTTCTATTCTATGTTTTTTGTAAAAAAAATCTCTACAGTGAGGAAGATTATTCTTTTCTAGCAACAGATTTTAGAAACTTAACACAGCAGATTCAGCTATCTTGGGAACTCAGGTTATATGATGAGTGGGTTCAGCAGTTCAACAGTTGAGCAATTCAGCTGCTGTCTCTGGGCAGTAATGAATAACATTTTGGAGATACTTTGCAGCAAGACTAGTGACTGTGAGGGATTCATTGTCAGCCAAAATACCACCTCCCATAATAATAAAACAAAGCCTACTTCTACTTCTGGTTTTAAACACACACATATACAAACTAGCAATTTCTAGGTCCACCTAGGTCACTCTATGGTCATCTGCCAGCAGGAGCAGAGCACAGAATTGTGCTGGAGGATCTGAAAAATGGTTAGAAATAACTTTTTTGGACATAGGTAAGTGAAATAACACTGTTCCCACTAAAACAAGAGTCAAACTGTCTATATAGCTACTGAAATTAAAGTCAGAGCCACGGTTCTACTGCTATGTATATTTTGCTATATTTTATTTATTTTTCTTAGTTCTCTTTTTTCTTTTCTTTTCTCTTTTTTAATACTTGTAATTTTTATTGTATTTGGAAATATTTCAATAAAACACTTTAAAAATAAATATAAATACCCCTCTGTGTTTGTAGTTGCTTGTTTCAGGAATGCTTCCTATAGCTTTGACTGAAGAACAGTACACTATTTTACAGAGTGATATGTGATTTCCGCTTCTGCAAGAATTGTGGATTCAGAGCCTGTCATATCTAGCTTCCCAAAAGGCCAAATGAGACACAGACAGGCTGAAGGCAAAATCAGAAGTTTTATTTTTCAAGGCCAGAGAGGATATCAATGGAGAAAGCACTCCAAAGAACTGACATACTGCAATTGCAAATACATAGCATATTTATTGTATTTTACACCTATTCAAGTCAGATGCGGGCTCCTGATTGGCTCAAAAGCTGGCCAGCTAGGATCCATTCTCTGAAGTCATCGCTGGTTGGTTAAATTTTCCCAGTGGTGGGAAAATTTAATAAACTGTCATTGGACTATTTTAAGAGTCTGCCAATTTCACCCATGAAAGATGTGCGATCGGGAAGAAATGTGGTGGGGTAATCAATGATGAGCTTAATATTCCAGCTCTAGAATAGCATTAGTTCAGATAAACAATGGGTGCTGAAGATGATGGCCATCTCAATGGTTGTTGTAAGAGTGGATCTGGTTTGGAGGCATAAGAGAAGATGCATTCCCAAAGATAATACAGATCATATTGGGTGAATCAGGAAAGAGGGCTCAGGGGCTCCAACGCAAGCCCATTCTGTGTTTCTCTCAAGTCTCAGTTCATTCTGAAAGGATTCTAAAAATTTGAGGAATTATGTCCAGAAGTCTGAGGAGTGGTGAGGCATTATTCCAAAGAAATTTGTAAGAAATTGTTACAGAACAGAATAAAAAAGGCAATGTGGGTGAACTGCATGTTCCAATGGAGTTGCGTCTCATAATTCATAATTTTGGGGTCTGATTTTTCGATAACACTAGGATGGTTGCCCTCTTTCACCAAGCATGCAGCTTCAGGAGGAATGGATATGGATCAGTGAAGGAGGAAGGGGAAATTCACCTCACCAACTTGAACAGCCAAACCAGTGATTTTCCTGTGCTTCATGGGATGGAAGACCCAGATCACAAACTTATGAAAATTAAAATATGAACTAAAGAAGTAAAGAGAGCATCATGAATAATAACTTGTGACAATATATTAGATATGGCCCTTTTGAGAGGGTGTCTGGAAAATTCACTCCTCTTCTAACAAGAGTATTATGATGTAGAAGTGTGTCCAATATGAGAGGAAGAAAGAAGGAAGAGTGCGATAGACAAAATCAACTTTAGCAATTTGGCATCTCATGCAGAAACAAAAAAGAACTGAAAAAATCTCACCTGCACCTCAACATTCAACTGCATTTTTTTTTAAAAAAAAATCTCCCTCAATGCTCTTTTTTTAAAAAAAAATTGAATCTAGAACATTGGAGCTTAAATCAAACTGTGACTTTGCCTACCGTTTCTGATTCCCTCCTTTCCAACCAAAATCAACTACCATGGAAAAAGTGGAAAGTTCCATTACAGACAGTACTCATGACAACAGGTTTGGGAAAAACATCAGAGCTAATTAAGGATCAGGCAAGAAAAGCCATCCTTTTCTATCATACCATCAGAACTCCTCTAAACAGAAACATGCATCTAGTCATGCCAAATGTAACAAAATCAGAATCTACTAGGTCAGTATATCACCAAATAACATGCCGCTGGACAATATTAGGGTAGCGACATGGTGTTATATCTCATGTGTAATGGTATAGTTTGTAGTACTTGTCTTCTCTTTATATGCTGCCACCAACCCAAGCCACCTTAGGATTTTTAAAGTGAGTTTCTGAGGTAAACTTTTCCCCTTCTCTGCCAACACAGCTCTTCCCTTAGCTCCCAAAATGACTGTTTGGATAAGTGACCTTTTTGTGGTATTAGGATGTTAAAGAGGCTAAAATTATCACAAAGGATTACTGATAGATTGAGGAACGATAGAAGCTTCTTAAAAGTCAAACAGAGAAAAGATTTATTTATAAAAAACAAACAGACAACTGGTTTCTTCTTTTGAGAGGCACAAACACTTGTCTTGTTACTATAGTACAATATCTTAATGGTTGCTTAAAAAGAGTTTCTTGGCTTGGTTACAAACAGAGCTAACCTCACAGATATAGCTACTGGATACAAAAAAAAAACCTCACTCTACTTCAGTGAAATAGCAATGGGTTCTTGACTAACCTAACCCAGGCTGTCTTCTGAGTAATCAGCTAACTCTCCCCAGAGTCCTTACAGCTAACTTACTAAAACTAGATAGCAAATCCCTTGTGCTGTCTCCCACAAGTAATCAGGATGCTGCCTGACCTTTCTTGTCAGCTATTCAGCCCTGCCCTGACACAAAACACACWCTCTCTCAGAAATACCCAGCCTCCAAACCACTTCCAGTTCCCAAATCTCCTCTCTCTCTCYCCCTCTCTCTCTCTCTCTCAGAAGCTGAAATCTTTTCCCTCCCAAGACTTGACTCCTCCTCCTCAGCTCTAGCCAATCCCAGGAGACCTCCAACTCCTCCCATCTTCCAACTATCCTCCCTCAAGATGGCTGCTTTACTGGCAGACACTCTCAAAATGGAGGTTTGCCCTACTGTCTTCCCAGGCTTCTATTCTGGCCTATTAGGTAAGAATCATTACACCAAACATAGGAGAGAAGCATGACATTCATGTCACCCATTTGATCATTCATATCCTCCAGACCTTYCAAATAAATGCACACACTCCTAAAAAAATTTAAAAACCCACTAGTGTTCAGCCCTGTGAGATAATTGGCCAGAAATACTTTCTGACAAAGCTGGTTTATTCTACTTTCACATTTTAATGTATTTACTTATCAATCCTGTCATTTTGCACCTTCTGATCATTTCTCACTTACAGAAATTCTAAGGCTGACCTAATCATTGAGTTTTCTTAGTGAAATTTATTCACACAGGGATTTGCTGTTGCCTTCTCTGGAGGAGATGAGACCGTGGCCTGCATAAGATCATTCAGTGGACTTCCATATCTGAGTAGGATTTGAACTGTGGTTTCTCAGAGTTGTAGTCCAATATTCATACCCTTACATAATGCTGACTCTTAGAAATGTCATTGATGTGTGCCTTCTGGTCATCTCTGAATGATGGTGAACCTAAGATGACCAGATGTGGTCATGACAAGATGTGGTCAGAGGGGCTTTGTCATTGCCATTCTCTAAGTCTGACAGAGTGTTCCTTGCTCACAGTGATCCTCTGGATTTCCACACCAAAGTGGTTATTCAAACCCTGGTCATCAAGGTCACAGCCCAATATTCAAACCACCACACCATGCTGGTTTTCTTTTCACTTAAAAACACATTAAACAAATATTCAGATGCTGATTGTTTGCTTTTTATGAAAGTTCCCAGACTGGTTAGAACAGAAAGTGGAAATAAGTACTGCTAAATGTGAAATGCACATATTTAAAACAATGTAGGTATTAAAATCAATAAATTAACTACCTCTTGTTAGAAGAGGTAGTTTCCCCAAAGATCTCTCAAAAAGTCCAATAGGTTTATCTAACATATTTCCACTAGTTGAAAGGGCCCTGTTGTTCCTTGTGATCTTCCTCTTTACTTTTTTATTTTGTACTTTGAATCTCACATGTTTGTAGTCAGGGACATTCATCCCATGAACCACAGGAAAATCACTATGTTGGCAGCAGATTTATAATTTCACAGAATGGTTTTTGTCAATGCTTTCCCCCTATTTTGCTGGTTGGGTGCCTTGCAGATAAGACCTGCCAAAATGCACAGAGACAGTAATTGGATTGCTCAGCTGTTGAACTTGAGAATTCACCCACCCTTG